TTCTCTTTCTTTCTTTCTTTCTTTCTTTCTTTCTTTCTTTCTTTCTTTCTTTCTTTCTTTCTTTCTTTCTTTCTTTCTTTCTTTCTTTCTTTCTTTCTTTCTTTCTTTCTTTCTTTCTTTGCCCTTCCCTTTTAGTGCAGCTTTGAGGAGATCAGAAGTCTCCACTTCCTTTTAAAAGTAATTGCAACATATTCTCTGATTACTTAGAAAACTGAGACCATGTAACCCCCCTTTCAAGCCATGAAGTCAAACTTGGTCTGTACAGGCAACAAAGTGGGGTGGGAATCCAGTACATGTAGCTGGTGGGGAATACTTTTTTTTTTTTTTTTTTTTTTTTTCATGCAAAAATACCCTCCCTGTAAAGAAGACAGAACGTTAAAGAGCAAAATCCTAGCTTGTTCCTTTGTCTGTTAAGCTGGCTTCCTAGGTTTTCCAGGTGGGCTTTCAAGGGTGGCATTCTGCACCTACAGCCTTAGGTGATGTAGCTCACCCTACCATCTCTGCATTCTGCCCTCTCATTCTAATGACACGGCTTCATTGCTGTTTTAATGTGCCCCACCTGTTTGCTCATTGTACCAGCCAGATGTGGTCTCTCTGGCAAGGATTTGAAAATCTCTCTGTCTCTTTTGATCTATGTCTCTGAGTCAGATGCACATTTTCTCCACATCCTTTTCCTGTATTTTAATTGCACCTTTATATGTTTTCCCCTGCATGGGAATTTCTGCATATTTTACCCATTTTTTCCTTATGCAAGTTTATGTACACATTTTATTTAGTTTATGCATCAACCATTGACTGATGTGTCTTTGTTATTTTTTTTTAATTGTTGCACATTTTAGCTGTGCCCATTTTAATATATGTGCCTTTTCCCCCTCTAAAATGCTCTCTAAAGCCACAAAAAATGCAGAGTTTTGAAGTTAAGTGCTTTACTGTTGAAAGGACAAAAATGCTGCATTAATTTAGACTGTCAAATCTATCCAAATTGTTTTCCATGCTGAGCCTCTGTTCATTTTGTGAATAGAACTTTCCCGCTCTTTTATTTTAAAATATACATGACCTTGCCTTGTAAAACTTAATATCATTTCCATTCTGATGTGCTATTTGTTCTTCCTAGGGGAATGTAACTATGGTGGAAGAGTAACTGATGACAAAGACAGACGTCTCCTTCTCTCGCTTCTTTCTATTGTGTATTGCAAAGATCTGGAAACAGAACAAAATTACAAACTTTCTTCAGGAGGGGAATATTATATACCACCTTGTGGGACATACCAGGTAAGAGAGTAAAAGATTAGGCTGAATTTAAATCTTGCTTTTCCTTCTCTATGCTCAAGGTGTGGGATACATAGCTTACCTCTTCAGTTTATCCTGCCATCTACTTTGTAAGGCAGGTTACGATAAAAGAGGTTGACTAGCCTGGGGTTACCGAGTATGTTTCATGGTTCAGTTGAATGTAGAACTTAGATTTCACAAGTCCTAGTCCAACTTAGTAGTAGAATCTAACCACTGTTCTATTAAACCAAACAGGTACTGTATAGTGAAAACAGTACCTTATGCTTTATTATTCAGCAGATCTGCTTATAATTGTATTTATAAAATGCATTTATTTATTTTATTTATTGGAAAGATGATCGCCATGCCCTTCAGCCATGAAGACTGACAGACCAGCTGACACATGATTTTAAATAATGTCAGTTTACACCTTCAGACTTACAATTTGAAAGATACAATATAAAAGAAAAAAGGGATGAGAAGAAAAGGGGGAAAGCTAACCCAAGCAACAAATTTAAGTGAAATAGAAATAGAAAATGCCAGATAGAGCTGGTGTTTCTGCAAAGCTGCAGAAATATTTCTGCTTCCCATTAACCTCTGTTAATTTTTGATGGAATAACTGCTGCCTCGTGACAGTTAAAGGGGTAGCACACTAAAGCTGGTTTGCAGTAGGCCAGAGGGAATAAACTTGCTATCGACCACCATCCTCTTCTGAGCGTTTATAGAATATATTTATTTGTCTTTTAATAATCACATTTGTTATACCTTGCCTCTGTGCAGTCTTACGTCGATTACTTGAGAACCCTACCAATTTCCACTCACCCTGAAGTATTTGGGCTTCATGAGAATGCTGACATAACAAAGGATAACCAAGAGACAAACCTGCTTTTTAATAGCATCTTGTTAACTTTGCCCCGACAAGCAGGAGGAGGTGGTAAATCTTCACAGGTAATGAAAACCGCACAATGCCTTCCTTTGAAAGTAACACTAAAGCAAGCAAATAGAAAGTAGATCTAAATAAATAAAAAATACATCTGGGATCTACTGGCAGATTGCTGGGTGATTTGCAGGACTTAGCAATAGTTGCCATTTTCCAGTAGATTATCAGTGAATTAGCAAGTAAAACAATTTTTTAAAAAAGAAAAATCTCTGCCATGCCTTTCTTTGAAATAATTGCTAATTTCCTTGTTTGGAGAATAAGAGCAATGGTTGTCTTTTAAGGTCCTTAATGTAACTTTGCAAGCTTCTCTGAGAATTATATCATTATTACAGTATTCAACAGTGCAGTAGGAATTTATGGTCACTTTCAAAACTGAACCTCCACTGGGGTTAAGGAAACATTTCTGGGGGCTGTTTCTGGTCCCAGAGCCACACTTTGCTCAGTCTGGATTTTGAAGGAGTACCTGCTGCCTCTAATCTTCAATGTATGTGTCACTTGGTATGGTGATGACAGAGAACGTCCTCAATGCCCAGTGGGTTATTGATAGTGGTATGGTGTTTTGCCTGTTCTTTTTCCTCTCTGTTTTACCCATTTTCTTTTCTAATTTGGTGGAGTGTATTTGTATCTTAGGCATTTTGTTTTCTGGTGAGGGTGTATTTGTGTATCTTGGGACGTGGTGGCACTGTGGGCTAAACCGCAGAAGCCTGTGCTGCAGGGTCAGAAAACCGAGCAGTTGTAAGATTGAATCCACGTGACGGAGTGAGCTCCCGTCGCTTGTCCCAGCTCCCGCCAACCTAGCGGTTCGAAAGCATGCAAATGCAAGTAGATAAATAGGCACCACCTTGGTGGGAAGGTAACAGCGCTCCGTGTCTAAATCACACTGGCCATGTGACCACGGAAAGATTGTCTTCGGACAAAAACGCTGGCTCTATGGCTTGGAAATGGGGATGAGCACTGTCCCCTAGAGTTGAACACGACTGGACAAAAATTGTCAAGGGGAACCTTTACCTTTATTTGTGTATCTTAGGCATTTTGTTTTCTGGTGAGATGTATGCTTTGTCTAGGGTCCATGTATGTGTTTGTGTACATTTATATTTGTGTATATCTGATGTAATGGATGATGTTCTACATTCATTTGTAAACACTGCTTTGGGGTTTAGCTCTTTGCACATCATACGTTGCGGGCAAAAAGCCAAACCTGTAGTTCTCTCTCTCTCTCTCTTTTTTAAAAAAATCATTATATCAAAAACAACATAAACCCAACCAAAGAAAGACACTTCTGCATTGTGTTACATTAATTCATTTCTCTTAAACCTATTAGTTCACCAGTGCCACCTTCACCTTCATGGCGAGGTTGTACTTTTAATATTCTTACTTTTCAGTTCGCCCAATTTATCTCCAGAGACTCACTGATTCTCCTCCTGGTGAAACACATATTTCAGAAATAAATTCCATAGTTTTTAAATATCATTTCTTTTTGATAAACCTCTTCTTAATTTCATTTCACAAGTCAATTTATCTTGAATTGCCATATCCCGCATTTCTGTACCATTCTTCAAGATTCAGTTTGGTTATCACTTTTCCAATGCCTTGCAAATAATCAATCTTTATTTGCCATCTCCAACTGCAAGATTATCACAGTTAGTGTTAATCAACTGAAGAGATAAGAGAAGGATAACATTGTTATAATAGTCATCCTTGCCACTGACTATTATAACAATGAAATCATTCTCTTATCTCTTCGGTTGATTATCACTAATTGTGTTCAATAAAGCCATCAATGGGGACATTTGAATATCAAATCCAGTAATTTCCCTAATTTTTTAAAAAAAAATTGTGTCCATTCTTTCCTCCTTATATCACATCATCATCACATGTGGAAATATGTCCCTTTTTCTTTTTTTACACCTCTGACTAACACATAGAAGACAATTTCTCATTTAAAATGTTTATCTTGACTAGTGTTAAAAACCATATCCAGGTTACTTCAACAATTTCCCTTGACCCTTACAGATATAGTCTTCATAATTCTTTTACTCCACCTTTTACTCCAATTGTACCCTATTCTTTCATTAGCCAAATCTTCTTGCCATTGATCTTTTAACCCATGTGTATCTTGACCAACGTGTATTAATAATTTTTATATCTCACAAACTGTTCCCTGTCTTTTTTTCATTACTTCTGATTTCAATCTTTCTTGAATAATCTCTTCAAACTTCATCATTTTCCTACTCTCTCCTTCCTTGGTTCTCCTTTCTCTTGTCCACCTTTCTATTTGAAATGTATTTAGCCAAGAGATCCTCTCTCCCTCCAATACCTCTTTTATATTTTCTTTGTCTTTTACCTTTTCCACCCAATCTTTTATTCTATTTAACCCCCCTTATACTTTAATATATATTTATATTTTATGTGGGTTTGTTTTAGATCTTCTGGAAAGTTTTTAAACTCGCCACTTGGGTAAGGGGGGAAATTGGTGGACTCAGTATTCCTTTATACTTTTCCCAGCTTTCTAATACATATTTTTGAAAGGGGATTAACTATCTTCTTAACCTGTAGTTCTGTTATTTTTACTAAGATCTGTGTGTTATGCACAAGCAGTACATGAACTATAGCTAAAAGCAAAATAAGTGTTAAAAAGCAAACTTTTTTTAAAAATTGAAGCCTGAAGATATAAAGGTGTTTGTTTGGGAAAGAGCAACACTAATCTTATCCAGCAGAGGAATAATCTTGAAAATAATGCAATTTTCTGATTTCAGGAAACTGTTGAGGAATTGGCACAGGACATCCTCTCCAAGCTGCCACAAGATTTTGATTTAGAAATGGTAATGGAAAAGTACCCAGTACGATATGAAGAGTCCATGAACACAGTTCTTAGGCAAGAACTGATTCGGTTCAACAGGTGGGAGTCTTCCCCTTTGCAATATTAGTAGTCCCTGAAGACTGATGTCTAGCCACAGGTCATTATTAATATAATCTAGCCTCCATCCAGACAGGTACCCTCCAGATGTATAACCCAGAACATCTGGAAGGCCACAGGCTGGGGAAGACTAGTATAATGAATGTTGGAGAAACTGATTCACAATCTTTTGAAATGTTTCTTATAAAAAGTGTTAAATGCAGACATGTATGTGTCAGCTTAATAATCTTTTTTGTATCCACTTAGAAAATATCACCAGCTTGGTTTTATTTTTCACTTAAGACAAATAATGATACAGTGGTGCCTCGCATAACGAGTGCCCCGTTTAACGACGAATCCGCATAGCAATGCAGATTTTGCGATCGCAAAAGTGATCACATTGCGATGTTTAAATAGGGAAAACGCTTACCAATCTTCGCATTGCGATGTTTTAAAAACAGCTGATCGGCGGTTCCAAAATGGCCACCGGGTCAACAAAATGGCTGCCCGCAGCATTTTCGCGCCGATTCCTCGCTTACCGAGGTGGAGAAAATGGTGGCTGGATGGAGATTTCTGCATAGCAGCGAGTTTTTTGCCCCATAGGAACGCATTAAACAGGGTTTAATGCATTCCTATGGGGTTTTTCATTCCGTATAACGACGTTTCCGGATAGCAATGATTTATCCGGAACAGATTGTCGTCGCTATGCGGGGCACCACTGTAGTTTAAACCAATCATAAAATTGCTAGATGAAACCGTACTTGATGCGTTGAACTCATGCAGCAAACGCCTCTCTTGAACAGGAAGATCCTTGCCATAGAATTGGTGGAGATGGTGCCAACTTTGCTATTCGGGGCACAGAATTCCATACTCTTTTCCTCATAGTCAATGGCCCATGTCTTTCGTTTCATAGCATTTTTTTAAAGGAGCATGTTAAAACTCCTCAGAGCTACATCATTTGAATGCAGCTGGGGTGGGGCTTTCCAGATCACGCATTTTGCAATTCCAGTTACCTCTAGGCAGCATGGCAAATGATGAAAGAGTAAGTACCGTATATTAACCTCCATTTGCCTAGTTCTCTACCTGGGGGGCCCTGCAGGTTGGGTCCTTGATGTTCAGGTGCTACACATTTGGGAAGAGAGATCCACAGAGAGCAGTCTGCCTAAAGTATAACTCCTGTCCTCAACATGAAACCAGCAGAGGACAGAATCAGAATTTGGAAAAGTTACATTTTTGACTACTACAATTCTCTGAATCTCCCAGCCAGCATGGACTAGGGAGACTGGGAATTGTAGTCTAAAATATATTTTCCTCCAGTTCTGAGTAGAATTAATACGAACAAGCTGAATTCAGACTTAGGATTCTTGCCATTAGTTCCTTTCCCTGCTTTCTCTTAGGCTGACAGAGGTTGTACGAAGCAGCCTCATCAACCTTGGCAAAGCCATTAAAGGCCTGGTGTTGATGTCTTCAGAACTTGAGGATGTTTTCAACAGCATGTTGGTGGGCAAAGTGCCAGGGATGTGGGCGGCCAAATCCTACCCATCGCTGAAGCCTCTGGGGAGTTATGTATCAGACCTGCTCATGCGACTGGCCTTCTTCCAGGTAGGCTAGTACTCTTTGCCCAGAACATTTGCACATGAATTATGATGATAAACTTCAGAAACATACCAAAAAAAACCCCCATTCAAATCCACTTACTAGTTTTTAAAAAGCAAGGATGTTGATTGTGTTAGAATTCTGATGGACAATAGGCCACTTAGTTCAGGTCTATTGGAACTAAAGATGTGAATTTCTGGAAAGAAATCTATTTGAAAATCAAGGGGACAGGTCCCACTCTTCCCCCATCTCAGAGAAAAATATTCTATTTTTCCAGGGAAAAATGTAGTGGGGAAGAACCATTGAATAAAATACATGCTGTTTTGGGATGAGTGAAATGTTTTACTGATAGTGTTTTAGTCACACAAAACACCAAGAACTTCACAGTATAAGGACCTGTATGTCGGGCAGTCTACAGAATTAAAGAGTGATCATTTCTGTGCATACTGTAGACATTCACAATGCTCATATCCAAAGTGCCTTTGTGCACCTACTGGGTCCAAGTAAATTTTTGTTTGTTTGTTTAATACAAAACTTGTAGATTCTGTTTTTATTTTTCAATTTTTTCTTCTCAGGTGATCGAAATTAAGATGCATATGCTTAGGTTGCACCCCTTTCTTTAGTATAAGCTATAGAATTATAGATATGTCAAATGGTACAGTTTTATATCCTAACTAAATTAGAGATCAAGCACTTTTGATGTGGATTTTATGTGAAAATAAGTATTATAAATACTTCCGTTTTCCTCCAGTTTCCCCCTTTTTTAATGGCAAAAATCCCTTGTGATATTAAAAGTTCTGGAAATTTTACACCTCTAGTTGGAGCCAAATTTTCATTTCTCTAGATTTAACTATATATCTGTATTAACAACATCAAATTTATTGTATACTATAATTGTTGGTCCCAGCTAGAACATCCCCATTTCTTTAGTGGGACTTGTTAAATTTGTACTTTAGTAATTCACATTAATTCAGTGGGCTTACTTAACTTACAACTAACAACTGAATTAGCCTTGCTTTTGTAAACACAATAAAATGCAATGCTTAGATTTGTCAACCTTAATTTTGGATTAATTTTCTCATGAGTCTTTTGTGTTAACTAATCATAATTAAGTTTTATCTTAACTTATCTTAATTAATTTGGATATAAACCTTTATAAATGGCAGGAACTTGGGCACCATGACTTTGCAGCTGAATATGTGTATGTTTTTATCCCATGAATTAAATGCATTTGTTGACCAATTTGCATTAAACCCAGGAATGGATCAAGCATGGACCCCCCAATGTATTTTGGTTATCAGGCTTCTACTTCACTCAATCATTCTTGACGGGTGTTTCCCAGAATTATGCCAGAAAATATACCATCCCGATAGATCACATTGGATTTGAATTTGAGGTACAGTATGTGAAATAATTTCATTCCTTGCTTCTGTATAATGCGCAAAACTTGGAACTCTATGGTTTATATCAGTGGTCTCCAACCTTGGGCCTCCAGATGTTCTTGGACTTCAACTTCCAGAAATCCTGGCCATCAGAGGTGGTGGTGAAGACTTCTGGGAATTGTAGTCCAAGAACATCTGGAGGCCCAAGGTTGAGGACCACTGGTTTATATCACTAGGATCTTATAAGGCAGGATCAAGAGTGGGTCAGCACAGAACTGCAAACCAGATGGGCTTGTAGGTGGACATGGAGAGATATTTTTTCTCTCCCTCCCTTCCACAGCATCCTTTCATTGTGAAAATCTGGTGGTCATTAGAGGACCTTCCAGAACTGTGCATAAAGCAGTGCTGAAGGTTGCTGTTGCATGATCCAAGAGGCCAACAACGGCATGGCTGCTGATTCATGGGGACCACCGATGCCAGCAGAAGAGACCCCGAGCTCAGGCATCACTGGAGAACCATAACCCTGAAAGTCCTGGGATGTCTGAGAACCTCCATGCCTAAGATCCAAAGTGCAGCACTAGCAACCCGAGTTTAACTCCAGCACCAGGACAGCGCACCCTCTAAGAACAGTACACTTAATTCTGTTGCTCCACCAGTGCCAGCCCTTATGTCTTGTATTAAACTCAGGAGTCGAACAGATGGGGAAACTGGATGTCCAGTTTCCACTTCACTTTAGTGTGAGGGTTCAAGCCAAGGCTTATCCAGAAGGCTTCCCAGTTTGCGGAAAAGAATGCTTGGCATCAAATTAAGGGTTCCACTTAATGGGAATGGGTGGAACCTGGGAGTAGTGGTCTTGGCCAAAAAGTATGAACCCTTGGAATAAAACTATACACTACACATAGCACCTAATTAAAAGCAGGAATCCCTTAAGTATACAACAGTCAAAACAGGAGCTTTTCATACTTACTGCGATTTGCTAATTACAATATCTGACTTTGTTTTGAGACTGCTCATCAGCAGATCACATAGGATTCAACAGCATGTACAGTGATGCCTCGCTAGACGATGATAATCCGTTCCACTGAAATTGCTGTTTAGCGAAATCATTGTCTAGCGAAAAGCATTTCCCCATTGAATGCATTGAAACCTGTTTAATGCATTCCAATGGGGAAGAATCGTCATTGTCTAGCGAAGATCGGCCATAGGAAAGCCGCTTTGCGAACCATCGATCAGCTGTTTAAATCACTGTCTTGTGAAGCTTAGGTCCCGAAAACACCTGTTTTGCGAGCGCGGAGGGAGCTGTCAAAATCTTCATCTAGTGAAAATCGGTTTGCGAAGCAGGGACCAAACACTGTCCAGCGAAATTCCCCCATAGAAATCACTGTTTTGGGAATTGCTATAGCGATTGCAAAAAGTCAATATCTAGCGAAAAAACTGTCATGCAGGGTAATTGTCTAGCGAGGCAATCACTGTATGGTTAATTTAGGCGTGAAGGTCTGCCAGAATCTTGCTTTTGGAACATTCCTGTGAGTTCAGCTTCAAACAGAGGGCTCTCTGTTATGTCTACTTTGGCCCCTGGTGGTACGAAAGTGCTCACCTACAGCTTTCCCAGGTGCTGCATTGCTGCCCTGTGGATTTCTACTACAAGCCAAAGATGACATCTGCAGGGCGAAGGAGGAATGGGCAAAAATGTCTGGTATGCCCATTTCCTTCTGCAGGGAATTTATCCTGGATTCTCATTTTCCGACCAAGGAGGCTAGATCCAACTGCCCATCAATTCTATGAAGACACTATTTTCCCCTTAAAAGGAGTCCCTGGAGGATTAAGTATATTCATGGCCACAGCTGGAACAATGGGACTCAAGCAGCAGCCACAAGATGCTGGTTGGTTGCAGTGGCCCTGTATGCCCTGTACAGTAATCCAGAGCCCCTCCTCACTGGTTGGTTGCAGTGGCCCTGTACAGTAATCCAGAGCCCCTCCTCCAGAAGGAATATGTCATGAAACACTACACCAAAGTTTATGGACTGAAATTTCTATTATCCCCACCCCAGAGCAGTCAGTGGTGAAGCATTCAATAACTTTTGAAGGGCCAGATGTTTCCAATCCATGTAGTACCAGAAAAAGATGAAGGAAGAATGTCACAATTTATAACAAGGGTGAAGAGTGAATTATAGGGAGAATTAAACTGGTAGTCTTCAAAAGAGGAAAGCCTGTGGGTGATCAAGGATGTTGCCAAAGATGTGAGTTTTGAGGAGTGATTTGTTCGTATTGGGGACAGTTTCTTGATGTTTTTGAGTTGCTTGATGGTGTTCTAGACATGCAGGAGACACATTGCAGGGAAGTAAAAAAAAGAAGAAATCAACATTTCTTCTCCAAGGGAAAGGATCAGGTTGTGGGTTATGGGGAGGAGCTTTACTGCACGAGATGTGAGGGGGGGCACTACAAGGCAGAGCAAATAATACTGGCTTGAATGGACAACCAGCTGGACCTGTGGGGAAAGGATCAGGTTGAGGGTTATGGGGAGGAGCTTTACTGCATGAGATGAGGGGGGGCACTACAAGGCAGAGCAGATAATATTGGCTTGAATGGACAACCAGCTGGACCTGTAATAAGGCAGTTTCCCTATGTTAGTGCCAAACCTTGTGGGCATGGTTGCTGTGATGAGGGGAGAGGAGGAATTATTTTTAGCTGCACTTGACAGAAGCAGGGGCACATAGAGGAAATTGCAACAGACTTGACAAGAGATGACTGGAGTGTTTTCTACTGATAAGTTCCAAAACATGGTCTTCCTTTCATCACCAGCTAATACATTTTTAGAGAACACTCTTACTGTTGACAAGAAAGAGGGTGTTTGCAAGAATTGGAAACTGGGAAACAATAGGGCACTTCAACAATAAAATGTTGCAGTTTCTGGAAAGGACGTCTCTTCTCCCCCATTCCTTTCTTTTCTCCAAGACAGAGATTTCTGGGGTTCATTCTTTAGATTTAAGAGGTTTGTTGTGAGCTGAGAATAAGGCAAGAAGCATGATGGGTAACCCCTATAGATACACCAGGCACCTCTGTTAGACCCAATCTAACAGCAGAGGATCTCAGATATAGTTTCAGTGATTTCAGTTCCACATGTTCAACAGTTCTAACCATGGCTTATCTTTGCTAGTTTCCCTGGGAGAAGGTGGACTTTGGATCTGTAAGCTGGCAACATGTACTACATGAGTTTAGAGATATATAGGGTGGGAATTGGGTAGAGAAGTGCTGTACTCAATGGGCAGTGCTTCTCAAGTTTGTCCTCTTTTAGCAGAACCTTCAAAATCTGATGATGTTATATGACAATTGAAATACACAACTGGAAAGAGACAAAATGATTTGTAAATTTATGGGAAAACACTTCCTCCCTCTATTTTGCTCCACTGTGAACCCCACGGTGATGTAATAAACTGCATGTCACTGTCCCCCTCCCCTCTTCTTTAGTACATCCTTTGTTTCCATCTGTTTATCCCTCCATAAACTTGCCTCACTTGTACATTGCAAATTAACTTGTTTTTGTTTTGTCACTGGTTATTGAGAGGTAAACACAGATTTCATTTGCAAAATATTTGAAGGAATTGTTTCTGGAGGGAAAACACAGTCACAGTAGGAATATACTTTCCCCTTAAAAGTGTATTGTTTTGTCCAATTGTTTTGGACTCTCAGTGGTAGAGAGTGCATGATTTGTATGCAGAAGACTTTTGTTGCCTCAACAGCATTCCTCCTCAAAAGGAAGTTAAACAGAAGAGCTGGGAAATAAGTGGGGATAGGACAATGGTTAGTGAGAGATGACAGTGAGGTAAAGGTTCCCCTTGACAATTTTTGTTCAGTCGTGTTCAACTCTAGGGGGCGGTGCTCATCCCCGTTTCCAAGCCATAGAGCCAGTGTTTTGTCTGAAGACAATCTTCCGTGGTCACATGGCCAGCGCGACTTAGACACGGAACGCTGTTACCTTCCCACCGAGGTGGTCCCTATTTATTTACTTGCATTTGCATGCTTTCGAACCGCTAGGTTGCTGGGAGCTGGGACAAGCACCGGGCGCTCACTCCGTTGCATGGATTCGATCTTACTACTGTGCTGCTTGGTCTTTTGACCCTGCAGCACAGGTTTCTGCGGTTTAGCCCGCAGCGCCACCATGTCCCTCAGTGAGAGTGAGGAAAAGGAGTCAATAGTCACTGGTGGATAAGCAAACGTGCTGGACAGCTGAAGTTAATGTGATTCAGAAAATGATGAGAAGCAATTTATATGTAAATGCTGGGCTTTGCCCTTCAGATGTTTTAGTCTACATTTTATGTAGCTCCCATACAGCACGATTAGTGGTATGGCATTATGGAAATTACAGTCCAAAACATATAGAGGACAAGAACTTTGCTTACCCTGACTGACATTTTTCTCTCTGTGGTAACATTTGAATACAAGATCACCCAATGAAACTGAATGTCGGGAGATCTAGGAGAGACAATAGGAAATACTTCTAATGTAGTGCATAATCTAATTGTGGCCTTCACTGTCACAAGAGGTCATTGTTGGCTGCATAAAACTGGCACCTGTTATCACTATCAAAACATGGGGGGCCCAGGAGTTTTCCCGCCTGTTTTGTACATAGGACTAAACTAAAATGGTGGGCAGCAAAATGGAGAGGCATTTGAGTTGCATAAATGCAGGTTTGGCCAAGACAAGAGTGGTTGACTTGCATTGACAAGGAGTGCTTTCAGTGGTTGTCATTTGCAGAATGTTACAACCCAGCCTAGAAACCCCCTGGAAACTGTTATGCCATTATATTGCATAATCCAAAATAACTGCAAAGAAGGGCACTCCTTGTCTTGTCACTGTGTTTAAAACCGCCTGTTATTTTTATGGACTTCAGGTCAGTATGCAGGTGTAGTTGAAGCAATGAAAACACCAAAACCTCATATCATGACAACTATTTTAAAAAGGAAATGTAATGAGAAGGAAGGAGAGAGTTGAAATGCCTGAATAGCATATCCCTTCCCACAGAGTCGGGGTGCCACTAGCAATAAGGCTCCAATAAGGAGCCCTTTGTTTAAAACGGCTGTTTGTCCCACCAAGATTTATGCTGAGTTTGAAACAAGTCCAGTTTGAAGGCCGTTTGAGGCAACGTCTTCCTCCTACGCCTATACACGTAGAGTGTGGTGTTTCTCCGATTCAGACCATGCTTTGACCTGCCACCACTTCTTCTTTTGTTTCTCTATGTAGGTGATGAAACAAGAGCACAATATGGAGCAAATGCCAGAAGACGGAGCCTATGTGAAAGGGCTCTTTTTGGAAGGGGCCCGATGGGACAGGGAAACCATGCAGATCGGTGAATCTTTCCCCAAAATCCTTTACGACGCTTTGCCCATCATTTGGCTGAAACCTGGGGAGAGCTCCAAGTTCTTGCATGAAAGGATTTACTTGTGCCCTGTCTATAAAACCAGCGCCAGGAGAGGAACCTTGTCGACGACTGGCCACTCCACCAATTATGTTCTCTCCATTGAACTTCCTTCTGATCTGCCCCAGAAACACTGGATTAACCGGGGTGTAGCTGCACTCTGTCAGCTGGATGACTGAATTGTTTATATTAATACCAATGTGATAGCGCTCCCCATTAAATATTTTACTCTCTAGAGTTAGTGCCATTTAAAAACAACACAAAAAATGCATGGTACAGTATTTAGATTTTTTTGCGTGGTCAACCCTTGTGCTTCCTCTTGCCAGAGCCTCCATGAACTTGAACAAGATCTTGTAGGCCCAAAACAATCAAAGGCCTGGAGGGACAATATTGGAGCTGGGACTTAAAATTCTCATCATTCCACTTTTGTGCAATGATGACGCTTTTAACACATATATACATTATAGAGAAAAGGTTATAAAGTCTGGGTGCAGATTAGCTTTGAAGAAAAGGCAAGAATGGGAAACCATGACAAGAGGCAGCTAAAACTATGCATGGCATGAAGAGAGTAGCTTGAAAGATATTCTCTTGCTTTTACAATACCAACACCAGGCAAGATCCGCAGGAGCCGAATGGCGGGAAATTCGACAGGGACAATAAAGATCTTCACACAGTGCAGAGTCAAATATGGAATTGCCTGGATGTAATGTCTGCCATCAATTGGATAGCTTTAAAAGATATCAGATACATTCATGATGAACAAGGCTATCAATGGGTTCTAGTCATGGTTTGTTATTCCCTTCCTGGGGAACATGAAAAGTGGGCTACAGTTGCTCTCATTTGCTTTTTGAAGGCTTCTCATCGGTATCTGGTTGATCACTGTGGGAATAGAACATTGGACTATGGAAGCCTTTGGTCTGAGCCAGCATGGATCTTACCACCCTGAGCTGGTGCATTGTTCAACTATGCTTCTGGTTTCTTCTTTCTCTTGCAATTCTTTTGAGTTTTCCCCCTTTTACACAAGATCTTCCTTTTCCTGCTTTCCACCTTCACTCCAAAACTCTTCATGGCTTTAGGGAGAGAGAGGATTACAGTTCTACCTGGGGGCAGAGATGGGAACCATGGCTGAAATTTTGACTTACTGTTGCTGCTGCAAGTCAACAGGCATTTAGTGACTACACCATACCAGGTTTTGGACAGAACAAATACGTCATGGGCTATAGACTGGTAGGGCAGATGAGGAATTGCTTCAAAGCATAAATTATTCTTGGAAATGTTGAATAGGAAGACATGCCTGGATCTGAATGTTTTTTTTCTGCAGAACAAGGAAGATGAGTCAAATAAGAACACATACCAATATTTAACTTAGTTCTGGGAGTAATAAAGCCTTTGGGAAGCAAGGAAGATTAGAGGATCAGTCTTAATTTCCAAGGAAACCATATTGCCCAAATTGGGAAGCGCTTGGCACAGGGCCTCCTTAGTCCGTAACACCTCTAAAAAGCAAAACATGAGTGTTTGCCCTTTCATCTCACTATCATATAAACTATCCTTCCTCAAGATGATATGCCCTAGATCTGTTCGACCAGAACTCCCATTATCTCTAGCCAGCACAGCTACTAGGATGGCAGAACTTGTGGACTTGCATATTTGATGGGCACCAAGCTTGGACAAAGTTGGCTATGGCATCTATGCTGACTAGCAGTGGTTCTTCTCTCCTATCACTTACTATCTGTTCCTTTCTATAAGGCTGGAAATTCCACTGATTGAAATTGGGACCTTTTGCAAGCACAGCATATGCTGTACCTCTGAACTATGAAGTCTAAGCATGCAGTCAGGCTTACTTAAAATGAAAGGGAAACAGTGTTGTTCTCTGGAAGAGCATTTTGTAACCCTGATTTTGTGCAGTCTTCAAGGAATCTGTTTCCTGCAGGGTGGATTTCACTGAATCAGAACAACTGAGTAGGAAGGGGCCTATAAGGCCATCTAGTCCAAAACCCCTGTTCAATGCAGGAATCAAAGTCAAAGCAGATCTGACAGATGGTTGCCCGCTTTTCTTTTGAATGCCTCCAGCATTGGAGCGTTCACTACCTCCCAAGGTCTTTGGTTCCATTGTCGTACTGCTATAACAATTATGTAGTTTCCCCTGATACTCAGTCATGTCATGGCTGTTCAGTGTGTCTACTGGCTGGCAGCTTTGATGTTATGATCCTCTCCCTTCTCCAACCCCATCCCCCTGAAGAATTTTGTAGCTTTTAACAAAAGGTGTATTCTTTAAAAATAGGGAATTATACAAACTTTTAATCATGAAAAGACACGATTGGTACTTAACCATTTTTAAAGGGCAGATAATTTGTTTGAAGGGTATTGGAGGGGAGAATGCAAAGCTGACAGTGTGGGAAGTCAGGATTGCTATTCCAGAAAAAAAAATACTTGTGCACCAGCCTTCACATGCTGTGCCCTTTTAAAGGGCCTGAACTACAACTTCCAGAATTCTCCAGTGAGTTGTTGCCTTTCAGTTTCTGTTTCTAGATGTGTACAACTGTACACAGCTCTGCTGGGGGATGCCTTCCCCCCCCTTGGACACTTTAATTAACCAACGTGAAAATATGTATATTTAGGAAGGTCTGAAAAAAATTGCCAAGTTGGAAATATATAAAACATCCACATACATACAATATATACATAAACAGGCTTACTCCTACTGATTTACTAAACTCATGACTAGGGAATGGCCTCTGTCATCACTTTCTTCATGCCAAAAGTGATGAGCGTGAGGAGGAGAAGTTCCTCTTCTAACTTTCCACATGAGCTAGCATTCTGAGATTCTTAATCATAGAATGTGGATGCAAACAGGAACTTCTCGTTGCTTTCCACAGAAAGAAAGTGCCAGTGAAGGGAATGGGGCTTGATGGTCCCCTGTTTGCATGTTAGATAAAATGGGGTTAGCAATGCTTGAATAGAGCAGTATACAGTATGGCTTATATATAGGCTTTTTCGTGGTTGTGTATAAGGGAGAGACCCTTTTTGAGTGCCTGGAGCCATCTAGTGAATCGCTTGTGGAACCAGTTCTACTACAGCTGAACCTGTGCTGTACCAATTCATGATGATGATTCAGCATATGAGGCCGTGCAGTCCCTTATCATGCCAGCTCAGCAACCATATCTAGATGCTGCAGTACAGAGTATTCAAGTAATTCCCACACTCAAACACAGAGCGGAAAGGAAGAAATTTGAATCAGCACTGCATTACCAAGTGTAGCTGAGGGATGATATGTACCTTAAGCAGCTTGTGGATCATTGAGACTTTAAAGTACAAAAGCAACAACGACACGGAAACTGATTTATCACCGTGCTTGCTCCTTGGCAGGAATAATTCAATATGCTCATGATTAAGTGGTTTCCACAAAGATAATGCAAGAAACAATTCTGCCTTAACAAAGATGATCTGAGCAGGTCTTAAGACCCCGGCCTTGACAAATTCGCTGAAAGGCAGAACGAACACTTTCAAAATATCGCCAAGAAAGAGTCACCATTTGATTCTGGAGTCTGGCCTTGTTGATGCAACACTTGGAGAAGCAGAACCGGCGCAGAGGAGCATCCTATTCCCTGTATTACCCGATGACAGCATGGCAAAGTTATCTGCTTTAGACTACAGCTCCCAGAATCTGGTTTGGGCCAGACAAACCACTATACCACTCTGGCTCTCTGACGAAACATACTTCAGATAAACAAGGATAAGACTGCAGCCTCGATGTATCTTTAGGTTGTGACACATGATACTCCCTCAGATGTTCTTTCTTTCTTTATTTATTTATTTAACTTATATGCCGCCCACACTACCCGAAGGTCTCTTCTTAGACCACAATTCCCATCAACCATTGTCTTTGTCAGCTAGAGCTTAAATTGCTGTATATATCTGGAGGACCACAGGTTCCTGATTCCTGAAAAAACTTGCAAGATAAAATTGACACCTTATTAACATTTACAGCCGTTGGTGGACGCAGTTGCCAGTGATACAGCCATGTTCAATGTAAGACTTCTCTTTGTCTCACCTCATACTTAACTGCAAAGCGCCTTTTATTGATGAATCAGCTGTTGACTCTTACCAAATCCAAGGCAGTTTCGGTAACATAACCTTACTCATCATCTGCTCAGAATCAAGTGGATGCATTGCCTTGAGGGAAACCATCACCGAGGGCTAACCACACCAGTTTTATCTACATTTGTGGGCGTGAAATGGAATACATCTTTCAAGCAGTCCAGGATGACACAGGCAAAAGGGTGATGCCAGATTATGAGATTTCATCGTAGGATTTCAAGTAGACTGGCTTGGAAAACTTCCTCAGCTTTTCCTGATGTCGGAAGGCGCGGCTCTGTTGCTGAGCAAGGCCCATGGGAGGCAAGTGGATCTGTGCACACAGAGAACAAAAAATGAATAAATAAATAAACAAAAGACACCGAAAACAGAAAGTGAAAAAAAAGGCAGAACTAGCAAGAAGATTAAACAGTTTGCTTTTGCTTCAGCAGTCCTATTTCTAGAAGCTTCTACTACTGGAAATAAGTGGAGGAAGGAGCTACAAATGATCAATAGCTCCTCTTAGGAGGGGTTACAACTAGAGGTATGCAGATCCGTGTCTGGGGAGTTTCTGGGAATTGTATCCAGAAACATAAATCTGTACACCTTAGTTACAACATCAGACACATTGCATTTCAGGAGCAAATACAAGAAGACACATGACAAAGGTGTAGAAACGTGTTTATGGTGTGGCACTCTCATCATGCTAAAAAACTGAAGTTATCTGCTGAAACCAGATTAGGGTGGAATCAGGACGTGCTGTTTCACTGAACATATAATTTATGTCTGCCACAAGACATAGTGGTGACTGTGAACTTCAACAGCTTTAAAAGGGGATTGAATACATTCACGGAAGATGCGTCTATCAATCACTACAAGTCACAATGACTGTATGTTCTGTTAAGGCAGTAGGTCTCTGCACATTGGGTGCTGTAGCTCATATCCTGCTTGTAGGCTTCACATGGCTGTTTGGCTGACCACTGTGTGAACAGAATATTGGACTAGAAAGATCTGACCCAGCCTGAGTGTTACCTTTAGTCAGTGAAGGTGGAGCAGCAGACCTAAGCCCATTTTGATGGTTCAGATGCCACATTTAACTGTTGCATGAATAAGAACTGGAGTGCACTTTGATATCATGGTCTCAGAACCTATCCGGTTTAAACTTTAGCCCTATGTGGGTGTTCACCCTGAAAGCATCTATGGCTCAAAGAATAATAGTGATGTGGGGCTGCAGGTAAGTCCTCTCCTCCCGTCTCATATCATCACCCGTAAGTCTGAATTTTGCTGAACTTGCTTGTTCAATGTGGCGGTCAGCATGAGTGCTGTAAGAATATTCAGCTGGAATGTGCTTAAAGTGATCCAGTGATCAGCTGCCCAGATACGCAAGATCAGAGATTCTGGGAACTGAAATCCAAAAAAGGTATGTATTACTAAGCTTTAAGACAAGGAGAATGACAGGTTATGCCACATCAGATCCCAGTTTGCAAAGGGGAACACTGCTATTCAGCTGAAATGTGCTTAAAGCGGTCCAGTGATCAGCTGCCCAGATAAGCAAGATGAGAGATTCTGGGAACTGAAATCCCAAAAAAGGTATGTATTACCAAGCATTAAGACAAGGAGAATGACAGATTATGCCACATCAGATCCCAGTTTGCAAAGGGGAACACTGACTGGAAGAAGCAGGCTGCCTGCTGCCCTTGTTGACTGCAGGCTGATAATTACCATCTGATGTCTAAAAAGCTGGAAATTGGTGCTACATAGTAATTAAACATAAAACTAACATCCTGAATCTCCAAGCAATTGCCTTACTGAAAGGGGCAATTTTAATGCTTCTTAGAAGTGAGAGACTACTTTGATGTTCAGCAATGGCAATCCTGATTCACCCTGACTCATGCGCTCAACATTAATTGCAGGATGAGTCCAAGGGAAGAAACAGTGACATTTCCTCTGCTTGTGTCTGCCGCATGTAGAATTCTGCTGAGCAAAGGTACTAAGAAATTCATATCTTACTTACGGGCCTTGGATAGGGGATGCGGTAATGAAGTCCAATTTCTATCCTTGCTTTGCACTCCTCTATACATTGTTTAATCAGCTCAGGCTCTGTCAGCTGGTTGAGCAAACAAAGCAGCAAAAAGGGAATTAAAATAGATAATTACAACTCTTGTTCCTGTGACTCGAAAGAGAAAATAAACCTAAAATCCAAAGAAAGGACATGCAATTCTGGGGGCAGGATGCCAGGGATCCTCGGCTGCAGCAAAAACAACGATGTACAGTGGTGCCTCGCTAGACAGTTGCCCCGCATGACAGTTTTTTCGCTAGACATTGGCTTTTTGCAATCGCTATAGAGACTCGCAAAACAGTGATTCCTATGGGGGAATTTCACTGGGCAATGTTTGGTCCCTGCTTCGCAAACCGATTTTCGCTAGACAACGATTTTGACAGCTCCCTCCGCGCTCGCAAACAGGTGTTTTCGGGACCTAAGCTTCGCAAGACAGCAATTTAAACAGCTGATCGGTGATTCACAAAGCGGCTTTTCTATGGGCCGATCTTCGCTAGACAACGACAATTCTTCCCCATTGGAACGCATTAAACAGGTTTCAATGCATTCCAATAGGGAAATGCTTTTCGCTAGACAATGATTTCACTAAACAGCAATTTCAGTGGAATGGATTATCATCGTCTAGCGAGACACCACTGTACTACCTTATTTGCTTTAGCACTCCACAGAAACGCATGCCAGGCAAAACCTTTTAATATTTAAGGTGCCAATTCACATATTTTAATACCCTCTTTTCCTCCCCTTAAGAGCCCACAATAGCCAACAAGAATTTCAAACAAAGCCGCCATAATACAATTATTGATTTGCTTTAAATATTTTTACAACACCTTTTTCTTTAAAAAGAACCCAAGGCAGCTTACATCATTAAAAGATAGTGTTTAAGGCTAACAACTGTCAGTATACAAATACTAAAAACGATCACAAAAATTTGAAAAAAAAAAACGGTAAAAAAAAACCAACACCAAAACACAATGAGGCACAGTAACAGGTAACACCAAGTGCAGCTGGCAGAAACAGAACAGGAAGAGTGTTGACTGTTGAACTTTCTGACTCCACCTCAACCCCCCCTCCCCAAGAACCACAATTTTATTAATTAGCAGAATAATGAGGAGGCCATCTAAGCTTCACCAGTGTCCTAATGGAAAAAGCCCTATTTTTCCATATCCACCCTTGACACATTATGCTGGGAGGAGGAGGGAAGGGAAACCCGGACTCTCCTGTATTACAGGGTGGCCACTTAAATTAACCCCTGTGCCCCCCCCAATTGCCCCACTAGGAAAGGGACACAGGAGAGATAGGGATTATCGCAGATTCATTCATTTAAAAATGCATATCCTAGGCTTAGGTGCAAATTTAAAAGCAACATCTGTAAGCAAACTCAGAATATAACACATCTCACCCTGCGGGGTGGGGGTGTTGAGAGAGAAAACTGTAACTGCCCATTGTGAATGCTGGGCAGATACTAACAATGGATGGAACAATTCGCATCAAGAGCCCTCTTCCCCCTTCTTAACCAACCTTCACCTTTAGCAAAGACTTGAACTGCGCAGCTATTCAGACAGCAGACGTTTTCCAACAAAGGACTGTCCTCTATAAAGCAGGTCGCATGGCCACTGCATCGCACTCCCACATCTCGGACAAGAAAGGAATGTGCTTTTTGATCACATCCGAAAGACAACAAAGCAGCAGTCTCTGTATAATGGAACGTGTGCGTGTGCTAGCTAGAAGAAAACTCATGTTTGACGAACACAACATAAGAGAGGCCTGGGATGAACTCACATTTTTATTCTTTTGGAATAAGGTTTTAGCTTCATTTATAATGTACTGTTTTTCTTTGACGGTCTCTTCCATCTGTCCGGACGCCGACTGCCATTTTTTGGCGATTCGAAATAGCTTGCGGTAAAGGCCAAGAACTTCTTGACGGGAGACTGGCGTCATCCTAGAGAAACAGGAATGAAACCCATCAACATTTGGGTCGAGAGAGAGAGAGAGAAAAAGAGCCTATAATCATATGGGACATTTTCGCACACAGCTTAATTAGTTTTCAAATATTTTATTGGCTTTTTTTTTAACTGCACGCGAACCAGAAGAGGCGGAGAACTAAGAAAATCTGCCAACCACCAAAAGCTGTTTACTTTTCCACACAGAGATGGGGAAGGGAAACTTAGGCTGGGAAACTCTGCTTGCATCCTACTCAAGTACGAAGACACTGATGCCTAAACGGCTGGCTTGGATTTTGGAAAAAAAAACAGCTATATAGGGGGTCACACAGTTTAAAAGATAAACGTATCTATGCAAATGAGCACCTAACCAGATGGAGAAAGGTTTCCAATGAATTGAACTTCATATAGGGTGAAACAGAAGGTTCCAGAAAAGGCTATTTTTGTTGCAGAGTTATGAATTTTGAATAAAATCTGTAGCTGAGCAGAATTAGCTTCAATACTCCCCACAGTAAACCACCTCTTATTGTCTCATCAATTGGTACTTACAGTCTCAGTAACTCAATAGATATAATAACTTGCTCTGAGACACTGGTAAAAGAAAGAATAAAATGGTTTTATTTACTCACAGGTATAGATAAAATAGATTTGAAGATAAAAGTCAACAGTACTTCTGAGCAGACATACACACACAGGACTCCCCTGTAAGAAAAATTCCTAGAGCTACAAGCAGGTGGTTGAGTGGGAAGGAAACATCAGGACTGGGAGGGCATCCACCCCCACCCGCATGCATATGACTAGGTCAACCTTCCAAGGATGGATGGGGTCCAAGCCAATGGGGGGGGGGGAAGAGATGGTCTCTCAGTCTCCCTCTCATTCCCATACATGTTGCACAAACCCATCCCACATCCCAGAACAGAAGATCTGTTGTCTGTGGCTTCTGGGTGCCCTCCCACCCCATGGCAACATTTTCTCTGAAGGGAAGGACTATGTTTTTGTTTTTTGTGGATTCAGACAGCCGCTCTCTGCGACACGAACACAACCCTCCCTGTCTTGCCATGCTTGGCAGAAGAATCCTGCTTGTCATTGAAGGGGAACAGATGGTCAGTGTTTAACTGGGTGTTGATGATTTGGGGTGAGTGGGAGGGGTAAAGAGAACAGACTGGGAAAAGACACCCCCCCGACACATTTCTTAAGGGCCACATTCCTGGAGAGGGCCACCTGCTCGAGCCTGCCAGGCAGTGGTAGGTGGGGGTCAAAGGCAGTCCATGCTCCTGATTTTGTGCCTTGAGAGGGGGGGGGTCATTTTTGCCAGAAGCCTCAACAACTGACCGCTTGCACAGCGTCTTTGGAACGAGTCCGAAGGCTGCACGTTTCCTGGCACATTTGCTGCTGGGCATCTCGGCTGTATGATTTTTATGCTTTTTTTCCAGTCGGTTCTCTTTGCCCTGCTTTGGTTGATAGTTATGTGCTTATACAGTTCTGTATTATGTTACTAATTTTTGTATTTCTATTGTATTGTTTATTGTGATCCCCCCCCCGTTTCTTTGTATGCTCCCCAGAGTAGTGTGGTCCCACTAAGTTGGGTGGCTTACATTTTTTTAAAAACTTAATAAATAAACAAACTGGACCTCTGCTGCCAAAGACAGATTACTCCAGACCAGTGGTTCAAACTTGGGGTCCCCAGACGTTCTTGGACTACAACTTCCAGAAATCCTGGCCAGCACAGCTAGTGTTGAAGGCTTCTGGGAGTTTTAGTTCAAGAACATCTGGGGACTCAAGGCTGGGAACCCCTCGACCCAGCTGAAGTCATTGGCAACCTGCTGGGGGAAGAGCTTGTTTGGAGAAACCGGCAAGGTTGGGAACCCCTCGACCCAGCTGAAGTCATTGGCAACCTGCTGGGGGGAAGAGCTTGTTTGGAGAAACCGGCAGTAGGTGTAACTTTTCAGTTCAATCATCTCCAGTGAAGCAGTCCTCCATTTACTTTCCTGTATGCCCCAATCTTTCCCTTTGCACCACTCCTGTGAGGCAGGCCAAGGATGTGCAGTACAACTGACTGACTGACCAGCCCAAGGTGAGCAGGCTCGCTTTCTGCCTGAGTGGGGATTTTTTTAAAAAAATGAGTCTTTTCGGACTCTTTCCTATGCTGGAAACACTGCACAACACGCTCACTCTGTGCAGCATCTGCAGTGGAAGATTGAAGGTGCCAATACCTGGCATTTGTTCCTTTCCCATAAGGATAGGGAATCCGTGGCTTCCCAGGTGTTGCTGGCCACCAATGCCCATTAGCCCCTGTCCACGTGGCCAGTGGTGAGAGGGACTGTGGGAGTAGTAGTTCGTCAACAGCTGGAAGCCACAGGTCCCACAGCCTTGCTTCAGCAGTTGGGCTCTTGATGCATTGCTCCTTCTCCATGTACCATGGGAAGCAATGTGTCTGGAGCCTCTCCATGCATCAGAGCTACTAAAAAGTCAGAGCTGTTAGCTGAGGGAGGCTCAGTAAGCTTATAGATGGGCAAAGGCAGTCAGCTCCGAGGATGCCCCCTCTGACTGTTTTTCAGCACCCGGGGCAGGAAACCTTGTGTATTCCAAATGTTTTGGAATGCAGCTCCTCTTAGGCTCAGCCAGCATGGTCAACGGATGATGGGAGCTGTAGTCTCAAAAGAGCCAGAGGACCCCAGATTGCTTCTTATCCCTGCCCTGGAGATAATGTCCCATTGTGTACTTGTGACATTTATATCCCAAAAAACTCAAGAATGCTTCACTGGGTTCTTATTTATATTTATTTATTTATTTATTAGATTTCTATCCCGCTCCCCCTAGACAAAGTCTACTCAGGGCAGGTTCCATTAAACATTATAAACTAAAACAATTCAAAACAATAATGTTAGTAATGCTCAAGATGGGAAAACAGAAAATTATAATAAGAATAAAGTCAAGTATTGACAGGAGGGAATTTTTTTTATTTTTTTCTTCCTTCCCGGTTCTATCTTCAGAAGAATCCTGTAAGGTAGGCCAGGGCCAAGTTTTTTTTTTTTTTTTTTAATTTTTTCTTCCTTCCCAGTTCTGTCTTCAGAAGAATCCTGTAAGGTAGGCCAGGCTGAGAAACAGTGACAGGCCCAGGACTAATTTCATAGCGGAGAGGGGACTTGAATCTAGAACTTTATAGTTTCAGTCCAACACTAGCCATTATACCATGCTGCCCCTTATTTTGCAATATTAGAACCCCCTCCGGGGCTAGTGTGGCCCTTAGCCAGGCTCCCTGGAAGATTCTAGGAGTTGTACACCCCAAAAGCAGATTTTCGAACTTTTAAAGTATCTGTTTAGCATATGTCTCATTAAGTATTCTTTCTTTCTTTCTTTCTTTCTTTCTTTCTTTCTTTCTTTCTTTCTTTCTTTCTTTCTTTTTCTTTCTTTCTTTCACTTTCTTTCTTTCTTTCCTTGCTTCCTTCCTTCCTTCAAACATCAGTGATGTGTGTGCCTCCAATTTTGCTGTCTTCAGTGTTAAATTACAGCACTTAGCTAAAGTGATGACCTACAATTGCCCTGCAACAGTGGAGCGGTGACAGATCATCATTCATGTCACCCATGGCTGGCTGAGCATTGAGCCACAGCAACTGACAGTCACTGGGTCAAATTCATCCCTGGGAGGAGCTGAAGCCAAGAGATTACGACAGACGGGGTAGAGGAGTCCTAGAAGGGAAACGGACAACTGGCAGGGCATACGGCTCCCATGGCATGGAAAGAATGGGGGCTCAGCAAGGATTCTGTGGCTGTTTGAAAAGACCCATTTCCTCCCAGACCCAGCAGACATGATGAACTCGTCAACCCATGTGGTTCAAATGGAATTTGCTTTCCCTCTTGGGTAAGAGCCAGGCTCCTTTAGCAGCACAGCGAGTGGGAAGGTGTTACAAGCATGCCCCCTTCTGTAGACATCTGTGCATGCACATCTGTGTTAACATCTGGAGTTGGGCGAAGAGGAACAGGCCTATGAATGCAAGGTAAGACTGGTGGTCCACTATAATCACTTGGAACTTAGCCCCTCTTGTAAACCTTTGCAAGCTCAGCAGGGTCAGACCTAGGCAGTACTCAGACCAGCGTTCCCCAACCTTTTTCTAGTTGTGACTCCCTTTTATAATAGCCAAGTAACCTGAAATCCCCACATTTGCAAATAAAAAGGCATTTTTAATGGGGAAAGTCATCCCTGCTGAGAAAGTACAGGCTTCTTTCTCCCCACGAAGGGCCTGTTTCTCATAAATACACACTACTTTAACACCCTGCTCTGAAAGGTCAAGGAAGAAAGGCTACAACACATATATAGCGACCCGTGACCCCCCAGAAAAACACTCCGCTGACTCCCTCGGGGCAGAGGAATGCTGCTCCCGACCCAGCCTAACCAACTTTGCAGGACTGTTGTTACAATACCCCAAGGATGGGCAGTACCTCTTCAACAACTTCACTATTAATGACTCCTCGTGCTTGCTTGCTTCTGTTCCTTTTCCTCTTTGTGATAGTGTTCTTTCTTTAGCTGTGATATTAATAACTATAATAAATGAAGAACTGAAGCCCTGGGTGCTGACGGTGCAAATACATGGGTTTGCTGGGTGTGAGGAGTGCACAGGTGTTTCCCCCCTTAGTGAGCCATCTGGCCCCAGCGCACAAGGACCAGGGCATCAGGAGGAGAGTAAGTTTTCTCAGGATGAGGCTGACGCAGCTGAAGGAGTGTCGAAACAGCCAAGGAGGAAGGCCTACCGTATCTCCGAGGAAGAGGACGGGTGGAAGGATGCAAGATGGCAGAACGCTGGGAGCCGTCTCCTCTTGTCTGGGTTGCCTGCTTGCAACAAGAGTCAGATACTAGAGGCTCCAGCTGCACGCTTGGGAGGGGGTGAGCAGAGGTAAGCGGCAGAGCCCGACTGCCTTTCCTCATCTATCTCTATAAGCCTTCCCCAAACGTACTGATTCTACTCCATATTTGTATTCGTGCACTGAGCATGGGGTTGGACTTGATGGCCTTATAGGCCACCCCTTCATGATTTGATGAAAAAGGGGGGTGTCTTGGACCAAGCCCTTTCCTTCTCCTTGCTTTTCAGAACCTGGCGTCTAGAGAGTGCCTACGAAATTAACTGTGTTCCCAAGTTGGCAAGTGGTGCCCAAGGATTTAGAGACTATATTTCAACACTAGGGGAGAAAGGCAGAGGGAAGTGATGCTGTACGACTAATAAAAGCTGCTGAGCCGCAGCCATGGAGTTACGCCTGGGGAACCCATCCTCCCACTCGCATCACAGGAGGGTGGGGGATAGCTGGTCATACACCATGTTAAAGCAGGACTTGGGAGAATCAGACTCTGATTTTTACTGAGTGATGAAATGAAGGGGTTGTCAAGGCCAGGCATGCCTTCTCTGTTCCTCTGTCTGAGTTACCCTTGCACGGCTGAGTAACTTGTGACAATAAAGGGTGGGGACGAAGAGCAGTGTTGCCCACTGCTGGAAAAGTGGAATATAAATGGAGTTACCAAATACTAAAGACCCTGATGTTGGGAAAGTGTGAAGGCAAGAGGAGAAGGGGACGACAGAGGATGAGATGGTTGGACGGTGTCATTGAAGCGACCAACATGACTTTGACCCAACTCCGGGAGGCAGTGGAAGACAGGAGGGCTTGGTGTGCTCTGGTCCATGGGGGTCACGAAGAGTCGGAAACAACTGAACAACAACAGCCAAATACTTTGACTGTGTGGACCACAGCAAATGATGGCAAGTCCTTAAAGAAATGGGAGTGCCTGACCACCTTATCTATCTCCTGAGAAACCTATATGTGGGGCAGGAAGCAACAGTTAGAAATGGATATGGAACAACTGATTGGTTCAAAATTAGGAAAGGAGCATGACAAGGCTGTATATTGTCTCCCTGCTTATTTAACATATATGCAGAATATATATAAGGGTGGTGAAAAGAACAGCTGTGCCTTGGAGCTTGTTCTGCACCCCCCCCTATGCTGGCCTGCTAATTTCAGATGTGGTGGAAAATGTAGAATGAGCTCCTTCCCTAAGATGGCTACGCTGGTCCTCTCCTTGCTATCCTTTCGCTGGCAGGACGAAGGAGGCCTTTCACCACCAGTCAGGACATTTTCATGGTGCATACTTAGCCTTTGTTCTTGGTGATAGTTATACATGTTTAAATTAGTTTAAAATATTTTTAGACTTATTGGTTATTTGTTGTAATTGGTTAATTAAGCTACTGTTTTTAATTTTGTAATTTATTTTAACTGTATGGTTTTAAAATATATATAAGTCTGTTTGGGTCCAGGAGACGAGAAAGTTCGGATACAAATAAAATAAAATACATAGAATTAGATACTCCAAGGATTCACTAAAGATCTCCCAAGGACATCCACCTGACTTTCACTGCATTTCCTAGTTAAAGAAGCAAAAACTACTGACTCAGGCTATTTTGAAGGAAAGTCATTTTATCACTTCAAATACATCTTAAGATCTGCTCTGTCAGGGAAAAAAATGTACATTGGCGATCAGAACATCTGAAAAGGATCATAGGCATACAGATATTTCCTGGTTTTCCTCAAATATGGTTCTTTTACAGTTCATCTCAAAAATTACACCTTTATGAGCATGGTTAATGTTTGCATAATGTTTTGATGAAATACGGAATAGATTTACCGCTCTAAAATGACAAGGATTTGTGTTACGTCCTTTAAAAAAAACACACACACCAGCACCCCAACACTAGTTTACTGTCCCAAAGCAGTTGGGCATATAATCTGGCTGCTTAGCATATAAACCATGTATATGCTAAGCAGCCAGATTTTTTATATAGGATTTTTATATAGGATATACTGTATAGGATTGTTATTTTCTTCCTTTTTTTGACAAAATTAAGGCTGTTAATAGAAATGTTTCCACATTAAAGAATAATGAAAGCACCTGAGAATAATACAAGTCATGTCTGAAAAGCGGCAGAAAATAAATAAGAAATGTGCTTTTTATACACTCTTGGGCCAGCTTGATGGGCAGGAGTGGCACTATGACATGGGGCTGATGTTCTGGAAGATTGGTAAGCTTGCATATTATTTTTGGTACTATAGGTGGTCTTAAGGAAGATCTTACCCACCTAGAAAAGCTGACAGTGCTCAGTGGGTTGGAGCATACAGCTGCAGAAAATGGTCTGCATCCCCACAGTGTCTCTCAGGAGAGGGGCCAGCCGAGATCACCTGAGGCAAAATGCACCATGGTCTCAGAGCACCCTTAGATGGATGTAAGATCCAGTAAACCATTTCTGAGGATCCAGTTCATAGAAAACCCTAGGGAGGACTGCAATCATTTGGAACTGACTTGATGGTACATAATAATCATCAATGAATTCTGAATGAATATAAATATGAATGAAGCTGAGTAATTACTGTACTCCCCAACCTTTTCTTTCTTTCGGGGAAATAACGCTTCACATGTAATACTTCCAGTTCCTACCACCCACAGCTTTGACACAGGTCAACAGAACCCATTCCGAAGCTGCTCTGAAAAGGCTGGTGGTTTGTGGGTGGCAGGCAGAAAAACCACAATGACACACAAAGGAATGTGATACCTCCTGTCATTCTTTCTATTTGAGGTTATTTCTTCGAAGTCTAAGCGGACGTTTTAAGGTAAAGGCCTGCATCTCAAGACAATGGCGTATGTAGACATTTGGGTTATTCTCTGACGTTCTGTTATTTCTACTTATTTTTGAAATTACTGATTTGCATGGGTCATTTCATTGAAAAATAGGGCTCAGAGATGTTCTTCTTGGGTTTGTAGCACCAGGATCCCTTAGCCAGCCATTACTTAAAACAAGTCATTAGCTAATTAGCCTAGCCACCAAACACACATCGGACCCATCTAATACCCTCCATGGTGCCCCATTCTTTAGATTCCCAAAGTCTGTAGCCTGTGGCACAGGTTGATGTAGTAACCCCAACTCTAAGTCCAGTAATTGCTGGCTTCCAGCCGGTTTGGACTATAACTCCTATCATCCTCATTCAGTACAGCAAAGAATTGTGGTTTTATAGTCAAGTCCAGTGGTTCTTAATCTTGGTTACTCAGGTGTTTGTGAACTGCAACTCTCAGAAACCCCAGCCAGCACAACGGGTGGTGAAGGCTTCTGGGAGTTGCAGTCCAAAAAACACCTGAGTAACCCAAGGTTAAGAACCACTGGTCAAGTCCATCTAAAAAGCCAAAAGTTCTCCTGCCCTACAGTAATAACTTGGTGTGTTAGGAAGAAGCAAATAAGAGCAAAGGTTGACCATAAGGTCTCTTCAGGGAAGGACAAGGGCAGTGGAGGTTTGGATGACATTTTTCCCAGCCATATTGACATGAGTGGCGCCATCTTGTCACTGCTGGCTAACGAAGACTTATCGCCCCCTAGCGGAGAGGGCAAGAACAACGCCTGCTCTCGTTTCGAGGGCGCCTGCGGAGCCATCCGGACTGCACCAATACACATAAGAGGCAGGGGGGGAATAACAACCAGAGCGAGCAGTCTTTTCTCTTGACTCACGACGCCATTGTGACGCACTCCCTTCCACCACCACCCCGCCTTCCCTGAATTATCTCTTGCAAACGTATTATATCTCCCGCCTGCCCCCCGCCTTGATTGGGACAGTCCAGGCTAGCACCACTTTACTCACCTCGGAAGGCGGCAGTTGGGAAGGCGAACGGCTGAGGGGAAACCCTCTTGCCCTTACGCTGCGTGCGGCGTCGGGGACGTCCGAGCGGAGGGGAGGGAGGGGGCGGCGGCGCCTGACGTCACCGCGCCGCCAGCTGACTCCCCGCACTAGACCCCACCCC